TGATATTGTTTTTTGGTCAAAAAAACTACAACATATTGAACATATTTTAGTTTTTACTTTAGATTATAACGTTTTGTTATAATCCCCATAGCTAAAGTTTCTTATAACACTACAGCTATATCATGTATAAACCACATGAGAGGCATATAATAACCACATCAAGTCACATAGCTTGTAAAATGGATCTTGTGTAATATATGTATTTCTTTTTTGCCTTATAAATAACATCTTAAGGTAATTCTCTCGTATGCAAGGAATCCAGGAAAACTAATGGCGAAACAAAATGGGAATCGAATTCTTAAACCTATAAAAAGATTGTCTATAAGATTTTAACCAAAATTAATAGATAAACTTAAGTTCATGCATTTGCTATTAGAAAAATATAAATGCATAAAATTCAAAGGTCAACCTTAAGTTTTATGCACTATTCTCTATAATCTTCAAACGGAATACAGAAGAAGGACTAACCTTCCAGTCTTCATAAGCCTGTTACTAAATCATTGTTAAAAAAACGACTTATTTAAATTCTTACCCTGGTCAACAACTATTGTGTAAGATCTCCTTTGACCTAAACTTACCTTGCTGTGGCAGTGCTGTCAAAGAGGTATTTATGTATATAAAGCATAAAAATAAGCACTTGTCTGTATATACAATATGTCTATTGTTTAAAGTCGTGGTAGATAAAGTAAGAAATTAACTTATTATTCTTCCTATTATGATTTGGGCTCAAGCTGTGAAGTTAAACAGTTCTTTTCTGGTGTTTATAGGATGAAAAATAAGAACTAGAATAAAATCAAAGCTGAAGTCTAGCATAATTTGGTTCACAAAGCTGAATTACACGAAATATACAGTAGTAAGAGAAAATATGAGGATTTTTAACCGACTTCAAGAAGAAGGAGGTATTAAGTTCGACTGAGTGTTTTTTATAGGTGTTGCCTCATAGCTTTTCTCTGGGGGAGCCGATTTTGATTAGTGTTTTTTTTTTGAAAGCTGGTGCTTCAAGTGTGATCCCATGTAGATTTGATTGGGATCTCACCAGTGGTTTTTGAGTGGTCCTTAATAATACGTACTTGATTAACTTTGAATACATTGATGATCTTCTTATTTTATTTATATTGAAGTCGGTTGTGCAAAGTTTTTAATTTTGCCACTTATATCAGTTACCTCACAATATCACCTGTACGTCACTTAAACTGTATGAAATTTAGTAAATTAGTTGTTAATTTTGAAAACTGCTTAATACCACTGCAATAAATCTAACAGCTAATTAGGTAAAGAATTTTAACAAGAAAATACATAAATTTTTACTGTATATAGTAACAGGCATTCATCCCCTTCTCATCCTAGAAGAAGTGGTATTGATGATATTGTTATGATAAGTGTTAGATAGACAACAATCTTACATCCAAAACATGTTCCGTTTATTATAACAGGCCATAATTAAATAAGAGCATTTGAAAGGTATAAAATAAATAAACAATAATTCATAATGGGAAATTATATTATCTAAATTTATTTATTATGCTTATTGTTTGTTTTGTTGTAAATTGTTAATTATGATAATTTATGACAGTAAATATTTAAAATGAAGCAATCAAATCTTTAAACATCTACATAGTATACAAACACAGAGGAGGCGTCAACGAATATAATTATTTGATCAAAGTAACTTACCTGTAAGTGTCCTTCGATCAAAATTATATGAAGTTGACGCCTCCTCTGTGTACAACCCTACCCTGCTGTATATTTTTATCCACCCTAAGGGCTTGCTTGTATTTTAATTATTTTTCCATAGAGTAAAGTAATATATACAGAAATAGAGAGCCATCTCCTAGGATTTTTTGTCACCCAATATGAATAGTGTCGCCGTCTAGTATCATATCCCTTCTAATCACTACCTGTGACTATAGATAGTGTATGTGTTATGTATATACGGCTATCTATACTATAGGCGGTTATATTTATATTTTAAGGGATTAGGGTTCAATTAAAGACGTATTATAGATTTCAGTAATATTAACATTTATTTTTGTAAAAAAAAAAAAAAAAAAAAAAATATATATATATATATATATATATTTAACATACACGATGTAAAAGCGTTTATTCCTCAAAATACAACACCAAACGAAATTAAATATGTCCACCGGGTTACGGAATGATAAATGAAAGCGTCTATTTCGCACATCACTACACGAACATACAATGTGGTTCCAGCATGAAAATCTAAACAGACAACAAGAAACAGAGGGCTAATCCCAACTCAACCAAACTTATTGTAGCAACAACCGAAAATCACTTATAAACTATAATAAAACAACAACTTAGTCAAACGCTGGGCTGGTAGCCATTATGTCATAAAGTTGCTACTTGCCAGTTCGAGAATAACCAGAATCGGGTAGTCGCCATCTAGCGCACCTTTTAGAAACTAATGTTCGAAAGTTTATGCGGACAATGTATAAGATGGCACTAGTGTCTTTGCAAATTATTGGACCCCAACCTAAAGTATGGAAGTGTACCCCCCCCTGATCTTTTCCTAATTCTAGTGGATATAAATTCACAATGACATGAGGTGTATAGTGTTGCCAGTGGGAGTTCATATAGGTTGGGATACCAGTAAAAATATTACTTTTCCCCGGAAGGTTAAAACTCGTGTGATTCGATACGTCAGTTCATGACTACATAGTGTACAAACACAGAGGAGGCGTCAACTTCATATATTTTGATCGAAGGACACTTACAGGTAAGTTACTTTGATCAAATAATTATATAGGTAGTAAATAATACGAAGTCGACGCTTGCAAAAATCTCTCTTTATTTTTTATAATTATTTCATTGTTGTGTCTAAAGATAAGCGTTTTAAAGTAATTATATACTTTATTGAATTATGGCGACATTTAATGTCAGAGTAAAAAAAATATTTTTAATATATCAATATAATATTCGAATTTTGTTTGACGGTGATATTTGGTGAATTCTAAGTACAAAATTAGATTTACGGTCAGCTTGTACATGTTTTCTATCAAAAAATTGACGCGCCAGCAAATAAACCAAATAATATAAGGACAAAATACTAAATATCGGTAATATAGGTTAGAATGAAATAAATAATTGGCTCAGTAATCATTAGTCAAACTGAAAATAATGGTATAGACTAAAAATGAGGTCTAATATTGCTAAAATTATATTTTAAATTTCATTTATATGGTTCTAAAATAGCGACAGTTTGATAAACATCCTAAACGGTATTTCGAGAGTCTTATAGTCTTAGTAGCTGTACTATGTATGTTATACCCTATAATACAGCCATTGGTTTTTAATCAGTTGTATAATAGACATAACATATAATTCTCTTTAGCGATAGGTATGAAAGATGAAAAACCATGTCTTGGGAACAGTGTTGGATAACTTTAATTTATATTTTATATAATCTTCTAACTGCATCAAATCTTTTTCTTTTTTCAACATATTCATAACCAATTAATGCAACGCATGCAAAATGGCGATATTCTTTCACTTTTACAGCTTTAAATTGTACCTACTATGGCTGTTTTTTTTAGTTTTATATCACCCTCATACAATTACAATGGAAATACCACATTTATCACATTACCACCCACAATAGGAGTAATAACCACTGTATTTAAAATAGTGTACCATTACGCCATAAAAATAAGTTTTAGAAGGCACTTAGCATACACAATTGTACAGACATAAGATTTAGTGATAATACATACTATAATAACACTTAGAACTGTGTGTGTGACAATGCAAAAAACAGCGTCTATAGAGCTTTAATGGTAAAATAAGATTCAAGTGTTACAAAATACCTAAAGTTGTTTACCAGAGTTTTCATATTCCGATTAAGAACCCTAAGGTTACTTAGATCCCATAACACAGACTTTATCAGCTTGAGCTGTGTAATAATAACTCATAAACCACTTTTGTGTGGATACGAACTCTTTTATACACTCTTATACGCTTCTAAAAGAACTTCTATGTGAGCTGGTATATTGATGTTCATAACACTGTGCTGTTTGGGATGCGTGTACTCGACGTGACGTGTACAAAAGTTGAAAGAAAAAGTGAGTGATAAAATGTGATTGTGTACTATTGTAAGAATTTTGATTTGATGAAATATTAAAATGTATTAAATCCTGTGCCATATGACCAAACGCTGCACTATTTTAAGATGCTGTCAAGTCTCGTCCTGTCTCTATCACTTCAAGTCAAAGTGTCTGTGTGTGTGTGTATATCTTAAAATTGCCTCGTTAGTCTAGTGGTTGTAGTATTACGACTGCTGATAATGAGGTCCTGGTCGGGCCAAAAAAAACTAATTTTTGAGTTTTTCCGTCAAGAAATTCTCAGTAGTTGCCTGGAGTCAGGAAGTTGGCGGTGTCTCACCCCCGTGCCTCGGAAAGCACGTAAAGCCGTTGGTCCTGCGCCTGATCTCTCTCCGGTCGTGTCGGCTTACCGTCCCATTGGATTATGGAGTGAGAGAATAGAGAGTGCACCTGTGCTTGCGCATACACTCGAGCACTATAATCCTGTCCTGCGCCGATGGCTAACCTCCGCTAAGGCAGGCCGCCCTGGCCGAAATTCGGTCTGGAGGATCTTAAAATTGACTAACGTTAAGCATTTGGCCAGTAGGAACTCAGGGGCTAAGCACTAGATGTAAATTCACAGTACGCGCGCAACCCTTCGGCACCAATGAAATTGTAAATTGCAATTTTAAGTGCAAACTTACGACGTGCTCGACAGTGGAGGAAAACATTGAGAAGAAATCTGCATGACAGAGAAAAATAGTAATTTAAAGACATTCTTGGTGGATGCATGTCATGTTACGCATTGGGACACCTCGGTGGACTTTTCCTTGCCCTAAAACCCTCTCAGAAGTGAGGGCTTTACCCCGCAATAGGACGTATATAGACTGTGACTTCACTTCCCTCTTTAATACGTCAGATTTACATCCTCTTTTAATATCATTACCGTGATTTTAGATGTCAACCACAGGAGGTACAAGGACGTTAATCAGAGGGAAGAGACGCCATCACCCCGAGATGTTTGAACCGTCGCACTCTCTGTTCAGAGCGGACAGCATACACCATTTGTTCTCCATTGCTGTTGCGATGAAGCCATCACCAGATTGGTTTTTGGGAGCATCGCGCTTTGAGCTCTGCACACCTTTTGGGTGGTTGGATGAGCACGAAATGCCGTTGTACCCTTGGGACGCAGGCACCATGGATGGGGTCTCATATGAGGTATTTAAGGATTGTTCTATACTCTTTATCGTTCAGTAATGCTTGTTTAAAGTCAATTGAACACAAATTATCTCATAGAGTGGATATATGACGCTTGGCAGGATGACTGGCAAACGCGGTTTTTCTTTTCATTATTTTGTTATTTTTTTTCGGGAAAATGCTCTACCCATATCCGGTTTTATTTCCGCCTGTCGCCCTCTACGACACCCACGGTATAATATGGGATAATGTAGTACTCTTAAACCACCACTACAGAATACTAACAAGGAACAGTACCATGTAAAGTACCGTGCCATAATATTGTAGCAGTAGTATTCAAAATAATAACAAAATAAGTAAAAATAAGTAATTTTAAATTATGCAATTACCAGAAATACTGATACTGTCAATTTGTAATTTCGTAATTGCTTACTACCAACGCTACTTCAAACCAGACATATATAAATTACTAGGTTTCAAATTCCAATGTTTACACATAAGACAAATTTCATTCTAATCTTATAGTTATAGTTATACAATATAACAAAGTTGAAAAGCGCTAGGACGCTGAAATGTAAACAAATAGAGCTAAAACTGGCACTACAAAAAAGTTAAAATCGTTCCGTTGACGTTAGGAGAAAAATTTGCTAGCTCTTCCGTTATACTCTTTGTTAAAATTTTATCTATATTGTATTTCAGTCACCGAAATCAGTAACAAACCCAACAGACAACATTGACCGAGTGGAAATAGGTTCTTTTAACAGCGAGTCGCCTTTCTATCAGATGAATTTAAACAACTTGAAACCTTTCGCGTACCTCCACGTCAAAAGACTCGCTGTTTATCCGATAAAAGGACGCAACTGCAGTGACAATGGTGAAGGTAAGTTTTTGTGAGTTTTCTTTTTGTTGGAAAATTCATTAATGCTGTTTTTTTATAGAATAAGGGTGAAAAACCAGTACATAGTTCACCCGATGGTGAGTGGAAACTCTGACCCATAAACATGTTTATCTATCTGTAGTTGCGTTGTTACTAATGAGGGTTAAAATGGAATGTTTTGTTTATAATCTCCGGATCTCCGGTTCTCTAAATTCACTATTTGAAACACAAACACATATAGATATTTTATGTCTTCTGTCTCCATTTTTATTTAATACTAAAATCGGAAACTAAGCAGAAACATTTGATAAATATCAACTTTAAAAAACTTAGGACACCATTGGGTTCGTAACCCCATTCCAATATGAGAAGTTAATAAGTTGGAAAAGTCCGCCATGTTGCTCGAGTAGAGTAGGCTAACTTCTTAACTTATGCAGTAAACAAAAATATTTTAGCTCTCAAATTTTCAGCACTTTGGTGATTTTTTTATTTCAGAAGCCGAAGAAGAATCAGACGTCCAAAACGATCAAGAGTAAGCAAAAATTGCTTTGTTTTGTTTTGTAGGTTTTAAAAGGAGCTTGGAAAACGACTGAAGAGTTTCTTACCACTTGTAGTGGATTGACCTAAGTAATTTTCGAAACTGTAGAAGTTTAGAAGATTTATTTTATAAAATAGTTTTGTCATTGATTTTAAAAACTCTTACTTTTACGTTTCTGTAACCATGTAGTTTTCCCTACTTAAGGGTTTTTCTATTAAGTTATTTTATTTCTTAATAACTTCAATGGTATTTACTTAGAAAGGCCTTAATGTATGATTATTACGTTCCATGAGTGAATGACTAAAAAATAATCATTAGTAAGGTGTTGTAATTTAGTGTTTTCGTTCAGAATGTTCAGAAAGCATAATAACCTATTTTAACTAAACTGGTGTCCACACACGCATGCACACAGCGATAATCAACGTTATTACATACATAATATTGTACAAATATGATAACAATTGCTATTGCGTGATCTTTCCTGAATTATCTACAAGTTTATGGTTTATTATAATATTTCCATTTAAAGAAAATTATGGTTTTTAAAAAAACACTAAATACTAAAAAAATTAAACTGGAATTTATGAATTTAACATAAAGTTTAAAAAACCGGATTTATTAAAGACGGCAGTGGTTTCTTTATAGGAGAGGGGGCAAACGAGCATACGGCTCACCTGATGGTAAGTGATTACCGTCGCCCATGAACAACTGCAACACCAGGGGAATTGCAGGTGCGTTGCCGGCCTTTTAGAAAGGTGCACCTAGGCTCTTTTCTTGAAGGTCCCTGAGTCGTATCGGTCCGGAAAACTTTCTGGTGGTAATCGACTCCACAAGGAAGTTGTGCGAGGAAGATTACTTTTTAATATGTATCCAAATTATAAAAGATAGAGTAATTCGCTCATAGGACTCTCGTCATCTGTTCTGGAGATTTTAGAAGAGTTTAGAAAAATGTCTCGTCATCAAAATAGTTCCCGCTCATTTTAATGTTTTTTAATGTTTGTTAGTTACAAATGAAAATCACATGTACTAACAAAATGGTTACAGAATTGTATCCTGAAAATAATAAAAGAAGATTTTTTTCTTGAATTTTACTAAAAATTAGATCAGGAAACATAAATACTTACTCGTATTTATCCCATAACACTCCAATATAATGTACAAAAGTTAATTTAGGAGCTCACACATCATCATATTTACGTTTCCAACAAATAAAAATGAGAACTTATGAATGACGAGAAAATACTGCCTTAGATATTTTTCTTTACAATATTTCCACTAATAGGTTAAAGCGATGAAATATTTAGTGTTTGTGTTGCGTGTATATTAACAACTTTTAAAACTTTTTCGATTTTTAACGATTAACTTACATCAGTACAAGAGTACATCTCGTAGATGTCGACTAATTTAAAAGAGCTCTTGACTTTCTTGTATTTTTGGTAGATATTATCACTTTTCGTAGTCAAAAATAGTAAATATAGTAAAATATGTTAAACCACATGAGAAAGGGTGAGCAGATTTAGGTTTTATGATATTTATGTAGTGAACGTGACAAAATCTATCAAAAATAAAAGGGAGGCGCGTTCAATTTTATTTTTAAAGGTCTCTACCACTTAAAACATAGATAAATAATAAATGTTATCTTTTTAGGGTAGCGATAGAAGAACCTAGAGTGCTAGAATCAGTCCAACAGAAATCGGAGCATTGCACTTTCAGCGAGTGGTACGAATGGTCTCAGTGCGTTCCAGACCAAGGTCACTGTGGCTTTGGAACCCAAATAAGGACACGGTCAAGATTAGGGAATACCTACAGTAATAAATACTCGGTATGTCAACTCTCGCTGGTAAGCTTGTAACTTGTAACCACTTGAAATGATTCGCAGATTAAGGCAGGCAAAGGTTTTAGACTATACAACTTAGTCTGACGTGTATTTTGTTTACAAAATTCTTCACAATAATATTGTCAACGTTTTATGTTGCAAAGTTTTTGGGAAAATTTGACTTCGAATGACGACATCTTTGGGCGCCTGATCGGATTAAAAACTTTTCATCGAAGCACTTGTTATTACATTTCCAGTAAAAGGAGTTCATAGACAGACACATGAGCTGCACCCCGGCAGCAATCCGGCAGCGATCAAGTTCCTGCCAAACCAATTTATTAAGTATTAGTAAATGCCCAAACGCCGTCCAAATTCCGTTCAGATAATAATTGATGTCAGTTTATACATTGTTTACGTAGGCATTACAATGTATTAAATTAAAATAATGTATTAAAAAAAAACCTTTAACAAAGTAGAAGCTTCTCGTATCGGTGCTTAGGTAGTGTATGGCTTTGACTACTGAATGTGAAATCATTTTATTCTTTTTAGTTCTATGAAGTCAGCATTTACTTGTTTTAAGATTTTTTTAACCCTTTTGAGTGGACTAAAGAGTATCAATAATCTCAATGTCGACTAAAAATTTTGCGATTAAAACTTCATTCCCAATTTTGCCGCCCTATTTTGCCGCCCTGAAGTATAAACTATATAATAAAAAAAAATCATCAAAATCGGTTAACAATTGACGAAGATATTGCGTAACATACATATAAAGTACGTGGTACGTGGTCTCTACGTGGTAGAGCCATATTGCAGCACAAATCGGTCGGCTCGACCGGGGAAGGACCACACACTCACAGAATATCAGCGTAGAACAGCAGCTAAATGCTGTTGTGTTTCGTGTGGTGAGTGTAGAAAAATGAAGACCCTTTTTAGTGGATACTATCTTAGTCCTCAGGATTGACGACGTATCTGCATCTTGTTTCTTATTCGAGGATAGACAAAGATGTTTATGGGCCACAGTATCATCGAGTGGGCTTTGTGCTCGCTTGTCACCGATATTATATAAAAAAACATACACTCGGTAGAACCTCCTGCCTTTTTTGAAGTCGGCTAAAATCATACATTCGCACATTAATTTAATATATTAATTTGTTAATGACTAAAAATCGTCATCTCTGTATCAAAATACGCATAATCGAGTTCTTTTTTGCTCTCAAGAAATAATATAATACAAATTCTACTTCGCCTCCCAAGCGTAGTGATCAACTATTATTGACTAATCACAATTCGAGGAAGGCGAATTCATTTGTCCAAGTGTGGATTTTACTACGTAAATGATAAAATACCGACATTATTATGATAATGAAAAAAATTAATTTGAGAGTTTTTAATTTTAACATAAGTCATAAATAGATTATAGTGAGTTATCAATATTATTAGCTGATTAAGTTATATTATTAAATATAAACAATTATAAAAACCTAGGTAAGTAACGTAGAAAAATAAACAGGTGATTATTTCAACTATTACGCAATTATGTATTTTATGGAATAATAATAATAACAATAGTATGTCAAGAATTTTACGTCACATTCTCTGTGTAAAACAATTTTTGTTTATTTACAGGAGGAAAAAAATAACCAACTTGAAGATATTGTGAGTTGCCAGAAGGACCACCCTTTGATGCAGTCCCAGACATGTTATGTTTATTGTTAAATTATTTGTTCTATCGATTAATAATATGTTACATAATAAGTATGTACTTAGGAGATATGAAAAGCATTAATAGTTTATTGATATAGAGTCTTACTCTTAATGTGTAATCCTATTAAAATATACCATCTACTTAACTATTCTCACATTTTACTATTTGAACACATGCTGTTAGTATCTAACCTTAACCTTAATTCAAGTTACTATGTAAATATATTTTACGTAACGCTTGAAAAACTAAACGGTTATGTAGTCACATACCTACTTAGGTCATGTTCGCAGTTGTTGATTCTGGAACGATATAGCGTCTTTGCTTTTTGCGCGAAAATAACTGGTTTCAAAGTTTCACGTTCTCCGACCATGATGTGCAAAGGCAAAGGGAACGCTATATAATATTATCTATGAACATACGTATACAGCAACCAGCAAGACCACATCCACATTGTTGCTCTAGTCAAGTATGAACATAGAAACGGATGGCGCATGCTCGCTCGGCTGCAACGGACCGCCTCGCATGCGATCGCAACTTGTTGATTGTTCGCTCACTTCACGCCAGTCTGCCGCGAACGATGCGCGAGGTGGTTGTGTTTTCCGCCGCGTTGTTGTTCGCTCCGTACTTCGAAGTTATTTTACGAAAATATGTGAAGTTTTTAAAACGTTCAATTAGGCAGAACTACCGCGACGGACGTGTCACATAGTTTTTAGTTATCATAGAAAGCCCTTAATAACTAGTTTTAAGTCATTGAAACTTAATAGGCTTACTCACTTTACCTGTATACTTCGTCCCACGACTCATGCGAAGCGGTTACCTTTATCGGATAAACGAACATTTTTCAAATGGATGTGCGTTTAAATTCTGTGATAGTGTGCGTGTTTTGTGTCATCACAAGACTTTGAGTGCTTCGTTAAGGCCTGTGACAAGTTTTAAATTTAGTGACGTGCCCAAAAATTGTAATAAATAGTTGATTTAAGAAAAATGTTCGCGTGCGGGGGAGAGAGGGGCTTCCTTGCCGCGCTGTTGCTTGGCTCGCTTGCAGTGGCGTTGGCCCAATATACCAAAGGTGTGTAGGTAAAAACGGCTATGAAGTTTTCTTACCTGTGCACGCGCACGGCCCTGTCCAATGTTTCTCGCCTGTTCTTTGTTCTTCTTTCTATTGTTTGCTACTTGGAATAGCCTTTTTAGAGGATTCGGAATTTTAAACAAGACTGAGTATTTCGTAGAAACTGACAATGTTAGTGATATTTACTTTCTAACGATTTACTCGTGTATGATAGCTAACTCATAAACGCATTACGCATTATTATTCTTGATCTTTGAGTTATTCATATTATTTGTGACTGATAAGTGTTAAATTCCTCCTTCCAAGAATACATCAATGGCTACCTTTCATAATCTTTAGATAGCAAGAGTTAAAATTAAACATGATACGTCACCTACTATTAAGTAGGTTTACTAAGAAATTGTAAGTAAGTAGGAATGTAGGTTTGACATACACGTTTAAAATACTGGTATACCTTTGTGTTTTATAAATATTTTTGATTACAGAAAACAGATTGAATTTACTTAAAAATTAAATTAAATAAGTTAATAGGGTTGCCACCTTTTTTTGAACAGATATAGGTAGTATTTTTCTAAAAAATGATCCAAAAAATAGTATTTTTGAGAAATTCAGGAGAAAAAAATACACATTTATTTTTAATCTTTTTTGTATTTTTCTATTTCTTATTGATCTATGCTTTCGTCTTAAAGGATCTAATACCTTTAAAATATTTATAGGATTCTGAGTAATTTAGATTCATATTAAAATAAATTAAAAATCAATTTTTATTTATACATGTTCTATTTCTTCTTCAAATTTTACATTCATGAGGAATAATTCCGTAAAACTTACTTGTTTCAGTCTTGTAATCACAGTTAATTTAAAAAGTGCGACAATTGAAATAGGGATAAAAATATAGTAGGCATTTTGCGTTCTATATTATTTTTCCAAAATATATAGTACAATTGGCTGATATATAGTACGATACTATATATTATAGTACGGGTGGCAACCCTATTCATTAATGAATCTGCAGCTAGAGTACGGAATTTACAACCTCGTAAAACAATAACAACTCTGAATATTTCTGTACAATAAACCCTCAGACGAAATTTTCGTCTGAGAATAAACCATTATAAAGGTAAAAAACTTACATAAAGTGCACTGTGGCTATAGCCTCTTGCCAACCTCGATGCTCTGTTCTTCTCTAGATATTGCACAATATTTTGTAGGATATTGTTCACTGTACCTACCAATAGTTACGTAACTATAACATTTGTGTCAACGTTTCTATAAATCAAAAATTTCACGGTGTATATTACGTAAATGTTCAAATACCAACCGTTTTAGACTATAGCTTGTTCGAAACAACTTGAAAACAAATTAAAAAAAATAAAGATGTATAGGTACCTATTATGTGTAATATTTATAAAAAACCTGTTAAAGTATAATCATTTTACTCTACCTAACAATTCTTGTTTTACTTTATCACATACACTTAAAAAGTTGTCCGTTATTTTCAAATTTTCATATTCCAAATGTGTTTTATGTTTGTATGCTTCATATATTATGTGAGAGAGCCACGCTGTAGCTATATGGATTATAATTGTAGCACGAATGGATCGGCTCGACCAGGATAGAACCACGCTGTAACAGAATACCACCATAAAATAGGAGCTTACTAGTAATGCTACATTGTGTCGTAAATAGTTAGTAATACTACATTGTTTTGTGTGGTGAGTGTAGAGAACCGGAGACCCTTTTTACTGTAAATAAAGCATTCCATCTCAGTCCTCAGGGGTAACCATGCCTCTACATTTTAATTGTTATTGAGTATAAATGTAGCCCTAACAAATATAATAAATAATATAAATATATAACATAATATAGTATTATATTAATTTAAAACACATTAATGGGGAAAATACCTTTTATTCTGTGGGATGCAGGACGGGGTATTTATTAAAACCGACGTAAGTCGCGAAGGTGTCATAATAATAAATTAATATAATGTAATATCTGAATGACAGGGTGAGAAATTGTGTGATAAGAGTAGAATGTGGTTTGCAAGATGATGTTGTGACCAGGATTAAGAAAGGAATGCTTCGGTGGTTTGGTCATGTGGAAATAATGAATGAGGAAAGAGTGAAAAAGAAAATTTATGTTGTAGAAATGAATGGCAGAGTCGGAAAGGGATGTCCTAGGCGAAAATTTATCGACTAAATTAGCGATTTATTGAAAACGGGCCAAATTAGGAGTACCCTTAACCGACGAGCATGTATGCGTAGGTATATGGATGTGAAGCAGGCGAGAGAGGTGTCGGGATCGTGCCAAATGGAAGTCTGTAGTCTCTGCCTACCCCTCTGAGTGACAGGCGTGAGTTTATGTTTATGTTGTATAAATGTAGATGTCTATGGGCCACAGCATCTAGGTTATTACTAGGTTACCTTACTATCAGGTGGACTGTGTGTGTGACTGATTCTATAAAAAATGGAATATTTTAAAAAACGTTCTATGTTGTGTGTTTGTACAGAAACCTCTAGGTCTACAACTTATTAGAATTACTTTCAGTGTTTTTAAATATCTTAAAATATTTTTCTACTATATCAATCGCCTTCGATACAACTAGTTTATTCCAAACTAATTCCCGACTATCTGATACACTCTTCAGTTGTCTACCAAAATATCGGTGTCTAGTTAGATTAAATAAAACGTTACCTAGTTAAAGGTAGAAAGCATTATGGAAAAATATCGTTCAGCGAAGAATAAATCCATCGTTATAAGTCGGGGCGTAAGAAAAGTTCTCCAACAATATTAAACTTCAAAGTAACAAAAAATAAGAAATTCGAAAACGTTATATATTTTGTAGATAGATACTGAATACAACAAACCGAAGGGCTTTCTAACTTAGTAATAAGATGTTCTGAAGAAATGCGACAAACTCCAGTTTAATATGATTTTTAAGTGTCTTGTAAGAAGGTCATATACATCTTAATATAATTTATGACTATAACCCAATAATATTCGTTAACATTATTGTTTACTAGCAATCTACCCTGGCTTTGCACAGGCGATTTCTGGATCACGAAAACAGCAGTACCTACCGGCTGTAACTGTGAATTTAAACCATCTAGGGACTCTCTCAAACACATAAAAAAATCAACAAAATCGGTCGAGCCATTTTCGAGTTTTGTCGAGACTAAGGCCCGCCACACACTGCATACGGAATTCCGAAACGAAACGAACGGGTCGGCCACACGCATACGGAATCCTGTTTTGCCCGCAAAATTCCGTACGGAAAACTACCATAGGTGTGTGACGAGCCATTGATTTTAAATGGACTTGCTTCGTTCGGAATCCCGAATTTGAATAAGGCCCGCCACACACTACATACGAAATTCTGTTTAGGAAATCCAAAACGAAACGAACGCGTCGGCCGCACGCCTACGGAATCCTGTTTTGTCCGCAAATTTCCGTGCGGAAAACTACCATAGGTCTGTGACGAGCCATTGATTTTAAATGGACTTGCTGCGTTCGGAATCCAGAATTTGAATAAGGCCCGCCACACACTACATATGAAATTCTGTTTGGGAATTCCAAAACGGAACGAACGCGTCGGCCGCACGCATACGGAATCCCGTTTTGTCGGCAAAATTCCGTGCGGAAAACTACCATAGATGTGTAACGAGCCATTGATTTTAAATGGACTTGCTGCGTTCGGAATCCCGAATTTGAATCAGGCCCGCCACACACTACATACGAAATTCTGTTTGGGAATTCGAAAACGGAACGAACGCGTCGGCCGCACGCATACGGAATCCCGTTTTGTCCGCAAAATTCCGTGCGGAAAACTACCGTAGGTGTGTGACGAGTCATTGATTTTAAATGGACTTGCTTCGTTCGGAATCCCGAATTTGAATAAGGCCCGCCACACACTACATATGAAATTCCGTTTGGGAATTC